AAATAATGTATACTGCATTGAAACAGATGAGGGAGAAAACTGTTAAAAAGGGATATGTGATTAGGCATTATTGTTATGACAGGAGTCCAGAATGAAGGCTGCATAGTGGAGTGGACCTGGGGGGAGGGATTGTAAAACAATGGGGGGACTTTTCTTTTACTTTTAATAAAAAAAGAAAGAGAAGACATGGTGAAATGCATAAGAGATACGATGCATAAGAGTTAACTATGGTGAATGTTATTACAATCACAATCCGGCAATATCTTCAGTGCTAAACATTCATCTACAAGTGTTATATAGACAGGCAGGCAAGACAAACACCTATTTGGGCAGGTGAAAAGGACAGCACCTGTAGCCACATATAGGATCAGTAGATGTTGCTTCTCCCTTCTTGTTAGTATAGGCTGTAATATATATACAATGTGCATACAGTTGTAATATATACAGTATATATATTGTAGAGTCCACAGGGGGTGATGTTATGTAAACTTTCTAATCAAAACCAAACACAAAGGGAGAGAATACACTGCTGGTCTTAGGACTTTGGGACCAGAGTCTCTGGGGACATGAAGGTCAGTTGGTGTAACACAGTCCACAAAGACAAGGTTGTACATCTTCTTACTTGTGTGAGTAATGACCGGGTCTTAAAAGCTTGCCAAAGGCCATCTAAAGTGCAGCTGTTGGTGTTTCCCTTTCTGGAACAAAGAAGAGAGTAGGGAATCAAAGATGCACAGAAACAATTCATCCAAGGGACTAATGGGCCACGAAAACGTCAACGTCCGTGACCCCAAGACCAGAAGAACTAATGGTGGCTGGCTACCACCGCTGACCACTCCAAAAGGGGTCACAGCAGAGGGTCTAGGGTAGAGAAGGCAAGAAAATGTGGAACAAACTAAAAAAAAAAACGTAAAAACGGCCAGGTTTCTTGGTCTGATAGAGACTGGTGGAACCCCTGAGTCTAGGGTCCGTACTAGGGTCTTTCAAACTTGGGACTCAACTCATATTGTGGCTCAAACAATAGACTGGCCTAGAAGGTGAACAGTAACTTCCTTCCTTCTAGCATTCAATCCTACAGGATCAAAAGGCAAGTGTTCGCCCAGGGAGAAAGCTTGGAAGATGAGTGTGAAGAAGTGAGAAGCATGTAGGTCAAGGAGGTGTTGTACGGCCGTAAGACAGAACGTATATGAGTTGATGAATGGAAAACCAATTTGCTCCATAAACTTTCACTCAAATCTCATACACACACACACACACACACACACACACACACACACACACTCACTCTTCATTTTTAGACACTTTACTGGGCACTTCTTCATTGTCCTGTAGGGTCACCCTGAGTGAGAAAAGACTTGACGGCAACAGGATTGGTTTGGTTCGAAATCTTCACAGGAGCAGATTGCCAGCAGGTTTCTTGTGCAGAATTGCTGGCTGGTCCAGTCCTTCTGTTCAGCAGCATCCCCAGGCCCTTACTGTCGTCCTTCTGCAGCCCCGATTTCTGGCCTAGACTGTGTCCTCTCTGCGGACCGGAACTTCCGATTGTCTCGATGTATCCAGAATTTGGCACACAGTCAACTCTGCTCAGCTGGTTGTTACTGAGTTGAAACCAACATTCCAGTGGATTTTTGGAAGCTGCACACATTTATGGGAAGAGAGTTCCATCTTTCTCTCGAGGAGCCGCTGGTGGATTTGAACCGCCAGAGAATGGGTGCTTTAAAACACATTTGCCGAAGGAAACAGAAGAGGAGCAGAGGGAAGAGATGCTATGAGAGGTAAGAGACGTGATCTGTACAAGAGCAGAACTGACGCAGGTGTCCGTGCGGCTGTCAGTGTGTGCGCTGAAGTCACTGGCCTGGCTGATGTGGCAAATAGAATCCAGTGTGTCAGCTAAGACCCTGGTGCCTAAGCAGTGGTTACGCTCTGGGTGAACCTGAGGTCATGGGTCACCCAGAGTCCACTGTCCAATGTGCCTTCCTGCTGGATGCACCCAGAGCTTTGAACCCACCTTGGAGGCTGTAGAGTGCACAGTCCCTCAACCTTCTGACAGTGGTGGGGGCTGAGGGAGCTCAGAGTGGCTGAGCTGTGGGAGAAGGGTGGGACACCCACACACCAGCTAGGCAGGTCCAGGCCAGGCCACTCCCGACCCAGCTCAAGGCCTGTGGAGGAGGCCTGGTGGACATGAGAGTGGATGGCTGAGCCAGCCCAGCTGGGGACTCTCATACAGTACCAGGGATTGATGAGGCTGCGCCTGCTCCACCCACTGGAGAGGCAAGTGAGGGAGACAGACAGACAGACAGAGGCTGAGCAGCAGTGAGGGAGTGGACCCAGGGGCTTATCCGGCACCTGCTGAGGGAGGGGCTGCCTGGAGGAGCCTTCAAACACTCTCAGAACCGCTTCTAAACAAGCCTGGCTGGTGGGCGGCCAGCAGGCCTGGGGGAGGCCTTTCTGAGGGGCTGGGTTGTGTGTAGAGCACAGGACACGGCCAGGGAGAGTTTGGTGGGATCCACCTACGCCTGGGACCCTGGGACAGGCCCAGTTTCACTCCTGTGTGACTTGGTTTCCTCTTCTGCACAACACAGCTTACAGCAACACCCCACTGCTTGCCTCCCGCGGCCAAGGCGAGGGTCAGTGGTGATGATGTCGGCACAGACGCTGTGTGGGCCCCGAGCCCTGATCAGATGTTATTTATTATTCTGAGCTCTGTTCTGGTGGGAGACTTGGATAGGCTGAGAGGGAGAATTGGGAGTGTTCTAGGGCCCCTTCTTCCCTGATGCTGTTTTGAGTGGAGTGGCCAGAAAGGGGCCCGGGCAGGGAGCGACCACGGCGCTCACCAGGACTGCACTGGGCTGCTTTTCCAGGAGGATCCCACCTCTGCTCTCCAACCCCCCCTTCTCGCTCCTCCACCTGAGCCAGTCATCTCAGTGACACCCAGAAATCAGCCTCCGCTCCCCGGATCCTCATTCGTGTGTAATGAGATGGTGACAATTTTTCTAAGTCCTGTTTAGAAATGTGACACTGTCTATTCCCCTTTGAGATATCAAAGGAGGCTTTGCCCTGCACCCGCCACTCACCAACCACGTTGGCCCAGGCACTGCGTGGCGGCCCCTGCTCGGAGCAGCTGGAACACGGGTTTATAAAATTACAGGGAATTCAAAGCAGCCGGCGTCGCCCGCTGTCTGGCTTCATTACGGGGACCGACCTCGGAGGGAAGTTTATTCCAATAATTTAGGGGATTAGGGTCTGCCGCCCTTCATTAGCTATTTGACATGAGCAGAAAGGCCCACACGATGGGGAGGACTCAGCTCAGGCAGAGAAACCAACATACCACCCAGCTAAGAAGAGAGAGAGGAGAGTCCACAAGGTGGAGAGGAATTAGATTGTCACTTCAGATGGTGAATTAGAGCCCTGAGGGGGACGTCGAACCGGGATGGTGCTGGGGGTCAGGACTCAGTTTCTCCATCTCTAAAATGAAGATGGTGCCAGGGGCTTCCCAAGTTCTCTCCAGGGACGAGAGCTCTCTTCTCTGGAGTGCAAAGCAACTCAGTGGTTGGTTTATGGTTTGGTCTTGCAAAGGCACCTTTTCTTGGAAGGAGCTGACTCCTTCTTGCCTTTGGGGATAAAGGATCAACCTGAAGATACTCTGCTTGCTTTTCTGTGATATTCTGGAGACAAGTAAATACCCTGATAAGTGATGGGGAAATGATCCCCATTCACTAGGAATTTAGGCCCTCACCCCACTCCCTTCACAAATGCAGTCCCCAATAGCTCCAAGCCTTGGTATCCAGGGTTTGGGCATTTCTGATGGCTGAGTGAGGAGGATGGCTTCCAAGCTGCTTTCCACGTTTTTGGGCGAACTGGGAGCTGTGTGACATGGGAGAAGTTACCCAACTTCTCTGTGCATCCACTTCCTCCGGTCTAAACCAGAGGAGCTGTCTGTGGTGAGGCTGAAATGATACCACACGTACAGAGCCTGGCACCAGTACACAGAAGAGCATCTATTATTGTGATGACTCGTGTGACCGTGGGTGAGTCAGTTGCCCTCTTTGACCTTGAACTTATTTCATTGCAGCATGGGGGAAGGACGTGGTGTGCCTGGAAGCACTGGACACTCAGCAAGAGCTCGCTGACCGGCAGCCATGACGGCCATTCGCGAGGGCAGCTGGGTAGTCCCACTGCTGAAACACTGTTACCATGTAGGTTTTCTTGGAGCCGACAAGGGTGTCAACCCAGGGGCGAGGAATGTGATCCGTCCTGGCTGCGGGGGAAGCCGGAGCATATCTGGTATGTGTCTCTGGAATGATTTGGGGAAAATTCACTAAGGTTGGAACTTGAGACACAAACGGCTTGGGACAGAGAGATACGGAGCTGTCCGCGCTCACGCCCCCCACAAAGGCCCTGCTGCTGGGGTAGGAGTCGGCTTACAGCGCTGCTCCAGCCCGCCCTGGAATGGCCGTGAACTTGTTGTTTTTCCACGTCATTTGCTCTCAAATGTACTATCAGGCTGGGCGATGCTAACCCGGTGGTGGCTGCAGGTCCTTCCTTGTAACAAGCGATTGTGTGTTCTTTAGAGGTGGCCAAAGGGGAGGAGGGGGCCTGGTCCAGGGAGGTGGGGTGGGAGAAAGGGAAACAAATCCCTTCTTCACAGGGAGTTTGCGTGTCCTGGAGCCAGCTCCCCCCCAAGCACATGCCATTTCTGGCCCTTGAAGGGGTTAAAGGCCTCCTAGAGCTCAAAAACAAGCAGGTGTCCCACCGTGCCAGATACAGCCGCCTAAACTGCTTCCAGCTTTTTTTTCTCCCCGCTTCTGCAACAAGTCTGTGATCGGGCCACAGGACAGAGGAGCCAGCGGCCTGCCTGTGACAGGCATCAGGTTAGCTCACTCCCACTCGGGTGCGCCCAGGATATAAATCCAGCCGGGGCCCCTGCTGCGGTCCTCTCCCTGCACACTCAGGAGAGGGAGTTTCCTGCCCCAGACCTTTCTTTTATCTGAAGCCGGCAGCCCAGAGCAGGCTGCACTGACGGTGGAGGCAGCCACAGCCCCAGTCCAGCCTCTGCCACGAGGAAGCTGCTGGTGTGGGGAGGGGCAGGTGTCTCCAGTCCCCAGAGAAAGAGGAGCAGAAGGCCCTAGTGGGCTCCAGCCGCTGGCATCGTCGCAGGGAGGACTCTGGCCTCTGCAGTACCACACCATGTGGGCCGCAGGGTGCCACCAGTTCTGCTCCCACTGGGGGCAGGTGGCAGTGTTGCTGCTGCTGCTGCTTGGGACACCCCTGAAAGGCGGGGCACTGCCACCCATCCGCTATTCTCACGCTGGCATCTGCCCCAACGACATGAACCCCAACCTCTGGGTGGATGCCCAGAGCACCTGCAAGCGGGAGTGTGAGACAGACCAGGTGAGTGGTTGCAGGGTAGGGGAGTGGGAGCTGGGGGCATGGATGGCTAGGGAATGCCCACAGCACCCAGGATCTAGGAGGATCTTGGGCTGTTCCTACTGAATCATGTCTGTCTGGTCACCCAGAAGAAGAGGTGGGTGTGATGGTCAAGTTCACTGGGGCCTGGGAGTAGCAGACTCCTTGCCTTCTGCTTGCTAAGGGCTGCAGTGAGGCAGCACTGGGCCAGACACATAGTAGGACATAGGCACAGCTGGCCATCAAGGTGGGCATTCGAATCTCCTTTCCAAGTGAGACAGTGGACACTTCAAAGCGCGGAGCTGTGGTGATGGAAGGGCAGGGCTGGGTCATGTCCTGACCACGGGTCTGCCTGTGCTCCTTCCTACCCTCCCAGCCCCTTGCCAGGCATTTGGACCCTCATCTGAGAGCAGCCAGTGCTGACATCAGGTCTAGCAGGAATGGTGTGGCATTGTTCTCCGCATGTCCTCAGTGGGGCATGAACTAAATTTGAACCTGCCAGGGTCCTCAAGCCTCCCATCTCTCCTGTCACAGGACAATGTGACAGGATCAATTCTAGGACAGTGTTCGTGAGACCATTGTGGGGCTTCTGCTCTAGGGGGTGGTCACTCCTGAGTCAGAGCGTGAGTCTTGTTCTCTCACCCCAGGGGCTAAGGATTTACTCACTTCAGTTGCTAGGGTCCTAGTCACATCAGGTGCTAAGGACCTGTTCACTCCAGGTGCCAGGGGCCTGTTCACCTCAGGGCCTAGGGACTCGTTCAGCCCAGGTGCCAGGGGTCTGTTCACCACAGGGGCTAGGGACTCATTCAGCCCAGGTACCAGGGGCCTGTTACCTAAGGGGCTAGGGACCCGTTCAGCCCAGGTGCCAGCCTGTTCACCTCAGGGGCTATGGACCCATTCAGCCCAGGTGCCAGGGGCCTATTCACCCCAGGGGCTAGGGACCCATTCAGCCCAGGTGCCAGGGGCCTGTTCACCTCTCGGGGGCTAGTGACCTGTTCACCCCAGGTGCTAGGGATCTGCTCACCCCAGGGACTAGGAGCTCGTTCACCCCAGGGGCTGGCTAGCAGCCCACTCACTCCAGGGGCTAGGGGCTCACTTACCCCAGGACTAGGAGTCTGTTTACCCTAGGGGCTAGGGGCTCACTCAACCCAGGGGTTAGGAGTCTGCTCACCCTGGGCTAAGGGTCCACTTACCCCAAGAAATAGAGATCTACTCACCCCAGGGGCTAGAGGCTGCTCACCCTAGGGACTAAGGGTCTGCTCACCTCAGGGGCTAGAGGTCTGTTCAACCCAGGGACTAGGGGTCCACTCACTCCAGCCCCAGAAGAGGCCACCCAGCCTCTTGGTGGCACCAGGGCTGCACTGAGAGTCTTAGACCATCAGGACATGAGACACTGATGCTTCTGCTGCTCCTGCCAGATGCACCTCACACCCCCCTTTCCAGGAGCTCAGTTCTCCCTGGAGAGGGGAGACCCCCATGCACAAGGCCCAGAGGACAATTCTCAGGCCAGCAGCTGCCAGTGGGCAATGATGGTGCTACGTGAGAGGGAGATAAGGAGTCAGAGAGGTGGTGGAGCATTCCCTCACAGAGGTCCTGTGTCAGCCTGCTGCACTGATGAGATCCTAGCTTCCCTGGACCTCGGGGACCCAGCTCGGCCTGCACCTTCTGGTGTTAATGGATCTGTCTGGGCAGAGTCTCTGAAGGGCCTGAATGACCCTCAGGCGTCTGCTCCAGCCCCTGGACCCGCCTGATCTCCCACAGACCCTACTTCAAAGTCTGCCCATCACCACCCCAAAGCCTCCCCAGGGGTGGCCTGGAAGCCCATGCCAAACATGGCTGTGAAACAAAGTCCCCATTCTGAGCTGAAGAAGGAAAAACAGTAAACAAGTCAGGCAGGCGGCTCCACACAGCCGGGCGGGGGCACAGTCCCCCTATGAGCCGATGTGGAATGTCAGAGGCTGGAATGAAAGTCAGACGGTGAGGCCAGCCCTGCGTGGGGAGCCGCCTGCATTACTACCGGGGTGAGGATTAGAGGCGTTGCCTGCCTGCCAGCGGGCACCCTGCGCTATTGTCGAGGGCACCACGTGAAATCCTTGTCGGTGCCTGCTCCAGGAGCACGGCGGTGATTTCGAGGAATTATACTAATGCCTTACGTGCTCCACAGAAAATCAGAGGAGATTACGGCCTGGTAAGTCCTTGCTGACCGCCTCGCCGACATTTGCCACATAAGGGGATCTCCCCCTCTGGTTGTTTCCTCCATGAGATGTCTCTCCTGCTGGACTCGATGGCTGAGGTCTGGTACGACCCACGGTAGTGAGAACTGGTGTCCCTGGTCTGTCCCATCTGCCCTGACTCTCAGCTTGGAGGAATGTAAGTGGTGATTAAACACAAAAGAGTAAACACTTCACACCTCACCAGAAGTTTAGTGGTTTGAAACCACTCAGAAGCATCGCAGAAAATAGGTCTGGCAGTCTCCTTCCAGAAGATGACATTCATTGAAAATCCTGTGGAGGACACTTTTGCACATTTATACACACACTGAAATGAACACAAAGGGGGTGTGTGTGTGTGTGTGTGTGTGTGTGTGTGTGTGTGTGTTCCTGATGTGTGTTGTGTCCTCAGGCAAAGAAGAGGAGTGTGTAACCTCGAACACCTGTCCCTGTGGCTTCTGACTGCCCCTTCTTTGCGTGCTGAGATCCGAACACCTGTCCCTGTGGCTTCTGACTGCCCCTTCTTTGCGTGCTGAGATCTCTTCATGCTGGCCAGGGCCTCCTTACCACGTTGGAGAAAAGACAAAAATTTAGGCTAATTTGCCAACTATGAGTTGGTTCTGACTTGACAGCAGTGAATTTGAACTTGCTGAAACCTAGATGCTGTTTGGTGTCTGAAAACAACACCATTTCAGAACCCTATCCACCTGGAGACCGAACTCCTTTATACTTTTTAACCATGTAGACTTCGGCATGCCTCCTCTGAGCCTCTTCATTCTCCTCTGTCATAAGTTGTAAGGAAATGTCCCCGCTTGTTGGGAAGTGTCCTGATTCTTCCCACACTACATGCTGTGTGATTTGGGGCAACCTGATAAACCTCTGTGTGCCTCGGTTATCACCACGTGTAAGGTGGGGATTACAGTTGCACCCATCTCACAGGTTTGTGGTGGACAGCCAGTGTAAAGTTCTCAGAAGGGCCGACATGTAGTAAATGCTGTTTATGTTATGGTCAGGTGCCTTCAAGTTCACAACTCATAGCAACAAATAGAAACTATGTCCCATTCTGTGCCATCTTCCCAATCTCCACCACATTCAAGCCCATTGTGTAGTCACTGTGTCAAGCTATCATATTGAGTGTCTTCTTCTCTTTCTCTGACCCTCCACCTTTACCAGCCTTATGTCTCTTTTCTAAGGACTGTCCCCTCCTGACAAGATACCCAAAGTATGTGACACAAAGTTCTATCATCTTGGCCCTAAGTGCTCCTGATTGCACTTACTCCAAAAATGATTTGTCCTTTTGCACAATGCTCTTCATCAGTACTACACTACAAAGGCATCACTTCTTTGGGCTTCCTTCATTGTCTAATTTCTCCATGGATATAAAACAATTGAAAAGTCCACGCCTTAGGTCAGGTGTTCCTTAGTCAGTTTATGACTTTATTGCTCTTTAGCACTTTGGAGAGGTCCATGAGTGTAAGTTTTTGTCTAATATAACATGTCCCTTGATTTCTTGGCTATAAGTTGTTATGGGTATTGATTATGGATCCAAGCAAAATGAAATCTTTGACAATTTCAGTATTTATTCCATCTATGATGATGTTAGTTGCCATCCCACGGTCACTTGTGGTTGCTGTGAGGCTGAACACTGTGACACGGATGTGTCAAATGTGTTAATGGTTGGCTACCCGATGCGGACTGAGAGTGGGGTGGAGCTCCCCGATTGAACAAGCGTGGAAGGAGGAGTGGCGTCCACTTCCATAATAGCTTGCCTCCGGAAACCCTATGAACTTGGAGAGAGGATGAAAGGCACCCAAGCATCAAGGACTCTCCTTCGTAGGGTCGCTATGAGTCGCCTGTGACTCAACGGCACTTAACAACAACAACAACAACAACAACATCATGATGTTGCCCATTTGCCCAGTTGTGAAGATTTTTTGTTTTATTGACTTGAAGATGTAATTGTATTGATCTGTACTTCAAGTCCTCTTCACTTTCTGAGAGCAAGGCTGTGTTATTTGCATAATGTGGGTTATTGATGAGTCTTCCTCTAATCTTAATGACACTCTTCATATTGAGAGCTGAGTTCTCAAAATGTTTCTCAGCACAGATTGAACAGGCATGGAGAAAGGATACAGTCCTGACACACATATGAAACCATGCAATGTCTGCTTGTTCTGTTTAAATGACTACTTCTTGTCTTGTACCTGTTTATATGTATATATTTGTTTATATCCTCTCTCTATAGATATACTTTATGCTCTATATGTTTATATGTATGCTATTATATGATGTCTATGTATGCCAGGGAGCTCTGGTGGCCTAATGGTAAGAAGTTGCACTGGCAACCCACAGGCATGTGGTTCGAATCAGTCAGCCGGTCTGTGAGAGAAAGATGGGCAGTCTCCTGCTGTGTGGTTCACAGCCTCTGAAAACCCTATGACGGGTCAGCTATGAGTCGGTTCCAGTGATGATACATAACAACATCTTACTATGTCGTGTACCGTCATTGTTGTTAAGAGCCATCAAGTTGGGTACAACTCTTAGGGACCCTAGGAACAACAGCTCTGAACCTGGTTCTGTTCTGTGCCATTCTCATCCCTGACACACTTGTGTCCCTTGCTGTAGTTGCTATGTCGATCCATCTCGTCGAGGGTCTTCCTCTCTTTCCCGGACCCTCCACCTTTCCTGGCTATGCGTAGGATAGCTTTGTTGTTGTTGTTTATTGCCATTAGCTGTGTTGTTGTTGCTGTTAAGTGCCATTGAGTCGTAGGCGACTCATAGCGACCCTATGAATAAGTCCTTGACACTTGTGTGACTTTCATCCTTTCTCCAGGTTCATAGGGTTTCCCGAGGCAAGCTATTATGGAAGTGGATGCTACTCCTGCTTCTAAGCTTGTTTTAACCAGGGAGCTCCACCAAACACTGTCCACCATGGGCAACCAGTATCGCATCTGATGCATCAGGGTCACAGTGTGCAGCTTCACAGCAACCACCAGTTACCTCTGTACGGCAAGTGGGCACACCAGGGCTATACCACCTAGAAGAATGTTTGACCCAAAACAATGAAAAACAGGCCTGAGGGCTGCGGATTAGAGTCACCCCCCCTTTGTCTTGTACAGCCGATAGCTATATTATCATAAAAATCTTTGGCTCATGGTCAGCACATGGTGATAAGCATTTCTGGGGGCTGGGGGGACACATCCTCTCTTCCTACTCCGCGCTGCTCAAGCCTCTCTGTCACTCTCCCCAGGAGTGCGAGACCTACGAGAAGTGCTGCCCCAACGTGTGCGGGGCCAAGAGCTGTGTGGCCGCCCGCTACGTGGACGTGAAGGGCAAGAAGGGCCCCGTGGGCATGCCGAAGGAGGCCACGTGCGACCACTTCATGTGTCTGCAGCAGGGCTCCGAGTGTGACATCTGGGACGGCCAGCCCGTGTGTAAGTGCAAAGACCGCTGTGAGAAGGAGCCCAGCTTCACCTGTGCCTCCGACGGGCTCACCTACTACAACCGCTGCTACATGGACGCCGAAGCCTGCTCCAAGGGCATCACGCTGGCCGTGGTCACCTGCCGCTACCACTTCACCTGGCCCCACACCAGCCCCCCGCCCCCCGAGACCACCGAGCACCCCACCACCGTCTCCCCCGAGACCCCGGGGCTGGACATGGCGGCCCCGGCCCTGCTCAACCACCCCGTGCACCAGTCGGTCACCATGGGCGAGACCGTGAGCTTCCTGTGCGACGTGGTGGGCCGGCCCCGGCCCGAGATCACGTGGGAGAAGCAGCTGGAGGACCGCGAGAACGTGGTCATGCGGCCCAACCACGTGCGCGGCAACGTGGTGGTCACCAACATCGCCCAGCTGGTCATCTACAACGCCCAGTCGCAGGACGCGGGCATCTACACGTGCACGGCCCGGAACGCCGCCGGTGTCCTGCGGGCCGACTTCCCGCTGTCGGTGGTCAGGGCGGGTCCGGCGGCGGCCACGGCCGAGAGCAGCGTGCAGGGCACGGCCTTCCCCGCGGCCGAGTGTCTGCAGCCCCCCGACGGCGAGGACTGCGGCGAGGAGCAGACCCGCTGGCACTTTGACGCCCAGGTCAACAACTGCCTCACCTTCACCTACGGCCGCTGCCACCGCAACCTCAACCACTTCGAGACCTACGAGGCCTGCATGCTGGCGTGCATGAGCGGGCCCCTGGCCGTGTGCAGCCTGCCCGCCCTGCAGGGTCCCTGCAAGGCCTACGTGCCCCGCTGGGCCTACAACGGCCAGACAGGCCAGTGCCAGTCGTTCGTCTACGGCGGCTGTGAGGGCAACAGCAACAACTTCGAGAGCAGAGAGGCCTGCGAGGAGTCCTGCCCCTTCCCCCGGGGGAACCAGCGCTGCAGGGCCTGCAAGCCCAGGCAGAAGCTCGTGACCAGCTTCTGCCGCAGCGACTTTGTCATCCTGGGCCGGGTGTCAGAGCTGACCGAGGAGCCCGACGCCGGCCGGGCCCTGGTGACCGTGGACGAGGTCCTCAAGGACGAGAAGATGGGACTCAAGTTCCTGGGCCGAGAGCCGCTGGAGGTCACGCTGCTGCACGTGGACTGGGCCTGCCCTTGCCCCAACGTGACGGTGGGCGAGACCCCGCTCATCATCATGGGCGAGGTGGACGGCGGCATGGCCATGCTGCGGCCGGACAGCTTCGTGGGAGCGTCCAGCACCCGGCGAGTCCGGAAGCTTCGCGAGGTCATGCACAAGAAGACCTGCGACGTCCTCAAGGAGATGCTGGCGGTGCACTGAGGGCAGCGCCCCATCCTGGCCCCCAACCTGGCCCTCAGCACACCCCGTCCCAACACCCCACAGTCAGCAAACTGGGCAAGGTCAGATTAGACAGCGAAACGCCAGCTGGCATCAGCAAAACATCCCGAAGTCCAGGTCAAGTTCCAGTACTTGTGTTACACCTTCTTACCCGAGGTGGGAGATGTCTACAGACGAGGGATCCTTGGAAGCCAGTCTGCCCAGCGTTCCCCTCCTTCCGCTGGCCTCTCCCTCCCTGGCTCTCCCAGCAGTGGGTCCCCACCCAAGGTTCTGCACTGGTGGTCACAAGAAGCGAAGGAGCTGAATTGTAAGGGTGGTGGATGGAGAGAGAAAGGAAGTCCCATGAAAGCTCCCCTCCGATTAATTCCCCACAGCCCCCAGGACATGACAAGAGCTGTGGGCAGGAGGGTGTTGGGGGCATACAACATCTCTGAAGAGGGGCTGCTGGGACAAGTGGACCTGCAGTTGCTGAGGTCACCAGAGCACCTGTTTACCTGTTTCTTAGGGGCTGTGCTGGCTTGCTGACCCAATTCCATTCCTTTCACCTCCAGGGCTAGTTCTGAGCACTTACTGAGTGCCAGGTCCCAGGGTCACAGGGACACTAGACCTGGGTCAACTCATAGTGACCAAGCACAAATGCCCAGTACCGCTGGGTTCCCCCAAACAGATCCATAGCTGTCCCTTCCAGTTATTGAATGGCCCTATTTGACAGTGTGTGCTTTCAAACGGCACCAGTTTCCTTCAAAATAAAGCGGATAAAAGCCACTGGATCTGTTTTGGTAGGAAGAGAGAGACAGAAAGAGGAGGTGGGGCCAGTGAAGGAATAAGAAAGAGGAGAGGAGGATGGGAAGCAGGCTTAAGGAGCCAGTGTTGTTCAATGCTGCCATCTGGTGTTGGCCTTAGGAGCCAGCAGGACCTATGTACCATGGAGCTGGAATTGACCTTGTCCCTCTAGCAGGTTGTCAGAAGCAGTAAATCACACTGGAAGGAGAGTGTCTATCTTTCTTCTGCAGAGCAGCCTGTGGATTCGAACTGCCTGCCTTCAGGTAGGTAGTGCAGCGCCTTACCACTAGGCCGCCAGAGCTCCCTGCAGCAGGGACCTGGAGGGAGACTCTAAGGCAGGCCTCGGAGGGCAGGCTCGGGATGTGGCAGCTGGCTGGTGATTTTTTTGTGTTTCCAGACTGCCTGTGTGGGCCTGGCCACCCTGTTACTAGATAGAAGCCCCGAGAAATCCACTGTCAGTTCTGTATCTGCCCTCGTTCCTTCCTCAGCCCTTCATCCATCCAAGCCCCTTCACAGCTGAAGGTCATGACAAGGTGTCTTCATTTCTTCCTTGAACGTAGGGAGAAGATGCCAATTAAAAGCTCATATTATCAAGAACCCTTCTGAGTGATTCTGTTGCATATGTGTGTGGGAGAGATTCTTTGGGGTTAAGGTCTATGAGTGTGTGTGTATGAAGTATATGAAGTGGGGTGGTATGTTCACCTCTGTCACTGTGGCCAGCACATGGTGGTGAACTTGATAGTGGGTCGGCGGAGGAAAGTCCTGACAATGGGACCATGTTGGGTGATGGAGTAGCTTGGACATGCCACATCTGTGGGCTCACCATAGTCCTACAGACCAAACACAAGGAAGCTGAGGCTTCCAAGACCATCATCTTAGGGAAAGGGCATCAGGATCAACTGGCAAAACATCGTTCGCAAAGACAGTGTTCTGCATTCTGCTTTAGTGCTGTTATGTGCCATCGTGTCAGAACTGACTCATGGCTGACCCTCCAGCAGGTTTTCCGAGACTGTAAATAGCACAAGAGGAGACTGGCCATCATTCTTTTGTAGAGCAACTGATGGATTTTAATCTCCTGCCTCTGGGTTGGCAACACAACTCCTTATGCACTAGGCCACCAGAGCTCCCTCTGTTTTGTCAAGTAAGTCTTACAAGTTTGTGAACGAGATTTTCTAACATCAAGGAAGAGAAAACAAGACAATGTAGGACACCCTTCCTGCTCCAGCTGCACCTGTCACAGAGACACCTTATGGCCGAACTGGAGACCTGATGGGTGGAAAGAAGAGTAAATGGAGAGAGTTTGTACAAAAATCTCTGAGCGCCTTGCAGTCAATGATGGCTCACTGGCTCTCGGAACAACTGCTCAGAACCATCCCACACCATCATCGTGATTTCCCATGTGCTTCGGCCTATTGTTCCGGCCACCGAGTCAATCCATCTCTCTGAGGATCATCTTCTCTTTTGCTGACTTTTCCAAGCGTGATGTAGTTTCTTAATGACCAGCCTTTTCTGACAACATACCCAAAGCATATGAGATGAATGTTAACCATCTCGACCTCTAGGGCACATCGTTCATTGCTGTACTTCCTTCAAGACAGATCTGTTTGTCTAATAGATTGAGATGTCTTCTTTATCTGCTTGATCACGGACAGAACACTAACTATAGGACTTAGGTAAGCTCAAGCCCCTCAGGAGTTCCACTGAAAGCACGGGAGGGTAAATGTGGATAATTTTTGCATTAAATTTAAGAGAACAAATACTGTGTGAAATTTTTCAAGCAGTTTCTACATTTTTGAGCTAAAAACATTTTTTTTCCTTGCCCTTGCAGTCAAAGAAAGATATATTCCAGAGAAATAAGAGACGTCAATGTTTTGAAGACCAAGAAAATGAACCCATCACTTTGTATGGCATTCTTTTAGCCAATAAGTTCTATTAGATTATTGAACTATCATAACGTTAGAAATTCACTCATATTTAATCACATCAACACTTCATTTAATAAAGCAACTAATGTTAGTGCTAGTTACAGTCAATATGAACCCTAATGTTTCTTCAAAGAGCCCTGGTGACACAGTAGTTAAAAATGCATGGCTACACCTACAACCAGGAGAAAATAAAATAGATGAATGGGATGTTCTAAGAATCAAATCCCTATGCACATCCAAAAACTTCTCCAACAGCGTGAAAAGGGAAGCCACAGGCTGGGGAAAAAAATATTTGGTAGTGATACGTCTGATATGGGACTTTATAAAATACTCGAACACAACAAGAAGATAAAGGAAAACAACCCAATTGAAAAATGGGCACAGGATAGACAGACAGTTCACCAAAGAAGACATTCAGATGGTGAACAAACACATGAAGAAATGTTCAAAATCCCTAGCTCTAAGAGAGATGCAAATCAAATCAGCTATGAAATACCAGCTCACCCCAGTTAGAATAACAAAATTCAACAGAACAGCAAACATCAAATGCTGGCGAGGTTGTGGAGAAACTGGAACCCTTATTCACTGTTGGTGGCAGTGAAAAGTGGTACAACCACTATGGAAGGAAGTATGGCTCTTTCTCAAAAAGTTGGAGATAGAAATGCCATTTGACCCAGCAATTCCACTACTGGGAATATAGCCTAAAGAAACCATAACTGCCACCGAAGCAGATATATGCACGCCCATGTTTATTGCAGCTTTGTTCACAATAGCAAAGAGTTGGAAAGAACCCAAGTGCCCATCAGCAAACAAATGGCTAGAGAAGTTTTGGTATATTCACACAATGGAATACTATGCTGCATTTAAAAAACAAGAAACTCATGAAATAGTATACAAAATTGGTAAACCTAGAGGACATTATGCTGAGTGAAATATCTCAGTCACAAGGGGACAAATACTGCACAGTGCCACTCTTGTAAAGCAGGTCTGGCATCGGAGATGAGGGAAAACTAAGAGGGGATAAATAATGTATACTGCATTGAAACAGATGAGATAGAGAACAGTTTAGGAGGAATATATGATTAGGTATTATGTCATGACAAGAATCCAGAATGAAATATGCATAGTGGAGTGGACTGGGGTGGGAGTGAGGATTGTATAACAATGAAAGAATTATTATTATTATTATTATTATTATTATTATTTTTAGAAGAGAAAAGTGAACTGGGGGTGAGGGGGGCCAGGGAGGAAATTATGCAACAATGAATGACTGGAAACCCAAAGTCTCTGTAAATTTTCATTAAAATTTAAAGACCCCCACACATGACTACAAAATAGAAAGTTGGCAACTTGATGTCTCCAGGAGCTCTCTAGGATAAAGATTTAAATTCCATAAAAATCACAGTCTACGAAACCATTTGGAGAAGTTCTACTGTCTTATAGGTTTGCTATGAATAGAAACCCATTCATTGGCAATGAACTTGGAATTGTTTCAGAAAAGCAGTAAGTGAAATTTTTAGGTTTGATTTTACATCTAAGTTTTATTGTCATAAAAGCAAAAGAACACAATATTTGTCAAGTCAACATTTTTGATGTGTTCAATGCAATAAAAACAACTACTTGAAAAACAGAATTTTTTTTTTAAAGTTTGTAAGCAGCTATCTATGTGATAGTTTTTGGTCTCTCCCTGTCTGAAACAAAACAAAAAAAATGAGGGAGAAGAAAGCAAAGATGTATAGAAACAATTAGGGCAACAACCACCTCCCAAGTGATTTACAGCCTCTGAAAATCTGCTAGACAGTCAGCAGTTAGTCAGTTCCAACTCAGCGGTATACAACAACAAACAACATGGAAACATGTCGTCCAAAGATGAAACACCAGAAGAAGTAGACAATACCTGCTGCCATTGCTGACTGCCCTGAAAGGGAAGAAAATGTGAAATAAACCGCAAAATAATTACAACAACTAGGCTTGTTGGTCTGATAGGTTCCCCCAAGAGGGAAAGCCCCTTAGTCACCCTTTGAGCCTGAAATGAAAACGTACCAAACAATAGACAGAAGGCCAATAGCAACCTACTTACTTCTTAGAACAATTAACCATACAAAACTGAAAGGAAAGCATTTACCCAGGGCTGAAGCTCAGGAGGCAGGAAGAACTAGAAGGATGAATGGAAATTAGAATCACAGGAAGGAAGAGAGAAGAGTGATGTTACAATGTGGGGATTGCAATTAATATCACAAACCAAAATATGTATGAATGGTTGAATGGACAATTTGCTCTGCAAACTTTCAGTCAAGTCAATAAAACAAGTTTAAAAGAAAAGGAAGAAAGAACACTGAGGCTAGGAGAGGGATAAAAAAGAAGCAGTAGGAAGCACCAGGGCATAGACCCACATGTTCTGACTTATAATCTT